TCCCCGAATTGAGTGTTGATTGATCATTTTCCTAATTTGGATTATTGTCAAAAAATGAAATTTCTTCGTCAGAAAATGGAATTCCGACATCGAAAAATCATGCTTTGCTTCGATCTTAAGTAAGGTTTCTTCCCTCCCTTAATCTTAGACAAATTGTACCTTAAATCGAAGCCCTTTGAGTCACGGTCGCAACGGATCTACTCTTGAGGCCATTCAATGTCGAGGCTTCGAGAAACAGCCATGGGAGTGAATTGATATCTCACTTTAAATATTCTGCAATTTGTTCTTTTTTTCGAACTTCTCTCTAATATTTCTTCTATTTCAAGTATCATCTCGGGCCATGCCATACGTCAAAATGTGCGTCTTGGTGAGACGAACAACGTACAAAAATTTGGGCTTGATTGGTCTTAAAAAAAAGAAGTCATGAACTCTCAAAGAATTTCCTTTTTCAAAAAATACAGTTTTCATAAATGGAAACTGATTCACCGAGGCTATATAGGAATAATATAAAACCTACCTAGTTTAGGAAAGTTGGGCCTAGAAGAGTCCAGAAAAATCCAAATGAGCTAAAGTTTGGTATTCAATGGTTTTTTAGCCTTTTGAATCTATTGGTGGTGGTCTTGGCAATAGTTATAAGGCATATTTTAGCATGCTAGGAAGCAACATTGTAAATGAAATTTCGTCTTTATCCTTGTGAGATCGAGATGAAACTTAGAGGACATCCTTGGGACATCGAATGCTACCCTTTCATAGTTTTGAGGTCAAAATGAAACCTTTTCGAATTATTCCAAAATTAGGCTTATTTGATCAGGGGCTCCCATAGTCCCTAGGCATTTTCATACCTGTGGGCCTAGGTCGCCATTAGCTTCTCCATTATTCATATTGGGGATACAAGTATATCAAAAATACCCTACAACAACTTGCTCCACCGAATGTTACTCTTCAAGAGGAGCAAGAAGTGTAATATTCAGAACAAAACTTGTCTCTCAATTTTCATTTTTCTTCCCAATCACTGGCATCGACATGACTTTTGAGAGGAAATCATACCAAGCTTCTCCCTTGGGGGATGAATGAAGTTGTTTTTGGTTCGAACGACTAGGGGTCTTGTTTAAGGGCTTGAAAACCCAATAATGCTAGAACTTTTGAGGGAGACTGGTGGCTGGGGCCTTGCTTAAGGGCTTAAGACCCAACTCATCAATACTCCAATTTATCTACTGGTGAGGGTCTTGCTTAAGGGCTTCCTTCCTACTTTAATAGGTATTTTTGTTCCAACAATCGGAAGTCTTGTTTAAGGGCTTGTGACCCAGTCATGTCAAAGTCGAGATTTGTTTAGCAGTTGAGGGCATTCCTTAAGGGCTTCCTTCCCACTTCAGTAAATTTGCCTTGGCGGGTACACGAGCAACTACACCAGGACTCAAACTGGTTGACATGTGGGTGCCTCTTTGGGGCTTGAACCCCATCTTACCGTATTTAGTCAGGGGCTTTTTAGTAGCTATCTCGAAATTCTAAACCTTTAGCAACTGGGAACCTTAATAAGATGGCCTCTATGGGGCTTGCACACCAATCTATTGGGATTAGTCGAGGGCCTTTTAGTGGCCATCCCGAAAATCTAAACCTTCAGCAATTGGAAACTTAATAAAATGACTACCCTATATGTCGGGTACTGATCCGGCATGGCAATCAATATCCCAAGTTATCTTCATGACTTTGCTATGATTGACTTTTTGAGGAGGAAATATTTCGGGCATACAACTGATCTGATTTACCATCTTTGTGATTCTTTTTATCTTAAGGAGCCCTTTAGAGGTTGGCCCTAGTTGTTGAAGATTTTTCTTAAGCTCTTTTTGGTTCCAGTAGTAGGGTATTAATCCCACGCTACCAAACTTTTGCATAGTGAGTAGGCTGAAGTCACCTATGAAGACAAGCGCTGCATCAACCTACTTATTAGTCCAGGCACCTTTTTGGTTTTTCGCTTAAACTGGGTGGAAGTAGTGCCACATTATAATTTTCACCAACTCCTTTTTTTACCCGTGACTTCATGATCACGTTTATCTTTATTTTCATTTATACTCACGGTCCCCTTTTAGGTTTTGACGATATCCGATTTCTTTTTCTTTTTGGCTCTTTTACCTATAGCTTCATGGTTACGTCCGCCTTTATTTCGACTTTAACTCATGGTGCCCTATCAGATTTTTACCATGTCCAGTTTCTTTCATTTTGGGCTCTTTTACTCCTAACTTCATGGCCACGCCCGTGTTTATTTTTCACTTTTCTGATAACATGGTGGTGGAGTGCATTATGAATGACAGGAAGTTCCCTTATTGGTGATGGGGATGGGGAGATGGGTTTAATAGTGAGTGTGAGACTCGGGGAGACCCTTGGCTTGAATGAGGCTTCAATGGGGATGAAGTGGTTAATATGAGCACTCATTCGTGATTTCGAATGATGCTCGGTGGGGTTTGAGGATATTGAGTCATTTTCGGGGTAGGAAGTGTTTGGATGTAGAAATGACGACTCAGAAGGTTGAGGAGTGATGCTGTTGATGAGGGTACTCATTCGTGAAATTTGAATGATGCCTGATGGAAGGTGGGGGTATTGAGTCGTCTAGGGAAGGTGGGGGTATTGAGTCGTCTTGGGGGTATGAAGAGATCGAATAGAAGCGCGGCCAGGAGGCTAACGACTCACCTGGGGAGCGATGTGGTTGAATGAGGCAAACACTCACGGACTTTGTATGCGGTTGAATGACCAACTACTTACGGACTTGTATGGAAAGAGCACTTGGATTTATGAAAAGGTTGTTTGGATTTATCCATGATTTATCCGATCTCCAAACTCACATTTTACACTTGGATTTATGAAAAGGTTGTTTGGATTTATCTATGATTTATCCTATCTCCAAACTCACATTTTATTTCTTCATTCATCTTGATCCGCCCAAAATAGGGTTTGGTTTATTCATATATGATTTGCTTATATAGAATGTCATTTCTTCTTCTTTCTTTGAATGTTGGTATACATTCTATCTATTTCTTTATCTCCAAGAGAATTGTTTGCTTGGAACAATAAGGATAGAATTTCTTCAATGGCAATCGAGTATGTGTATTGTATTGATTCCTTTTTAGTAATATATTTGAAAATACAGTGATTCCTTCTTAGCATCAGCAACACTTCGAGCACGACTGTACATTCCAAAATAACTATTACTCTAGCATTTTACCTTTAGCCAAGAACCTTCTTGATTTTGAATTCACTCTTAACTCTTCTATTTTTTATCAAAAGAAATAGAAGGAACAAAAAAGAAAGAAGTAGGAATAAATATATTTTATCTCTCAAAGGTCACCAATTACTTGTCTCTTGGCGTGTCCCTTCATATGTGTTGTACATAAAGAAGAATTTGATTATTCGTTCACTTGAATCAAAAGTGAAGATTATGTGTGAACAGGGATCCTATAAAAACATCTTTGGAGGATTGGGCCAGACCCGGCCATTTCTCAAGGGCAACAACTAAAGGCCCACTTCTACCACTTAGAGTCTAGGGTCTAGGTCCTACATACTGATGGTCACAATTTCAATAACCATACCAATGATTTGGGGGAGATTTTGAAGTATTTAGTGCTCATTTCAGTCAATTATCTATCATCTTTCTTTGGTTGTGGTATGTACTTCCATCATGCCCATTTTTCCAATTATGAAACCCGATTGCATGATCCTACTCACATCACACTCAGTGCCAAGTGCTTTGGCCAATAATTGGTCAAGAAATCTTGAATGGCTATTTAGGTGAAATTTTCTTAGGAATACAAATAATCTCTAGTTTTTTTTTTCAGCTTTGGTAAGCATATGCATGTGTTATATATATATATATATGAGAGAGAGAGAGAGAGAGAGAGTGAGAGCCACAATCTAGACCTCTTGCCCCAATACATAGGATTACTTTTTGATGTCCAATTTTTTGGCTGGTTGGTTTTTGGCTAGTTGAGTGGTTTCTAGCAAAAGATTTTAACTCGGGTCTCTCTTCGAAATTTTAAATTTTTGCGGTTCCCAATGATCAGCGATTTCCAGACAATATTTATAATTCTCAGCCCAACATCAGCGATTTCCAGACAATAAACGTCTTATCTTTGCCTGAAATCGAAGTTAAATAGAAGTCTTCCCGGCCTAGAGCAAACATTATTCCCGCCAAAAGGACACTTCACAAAAAGCTAATTGCTCATTTAAGAAGAGGATATCAAGACATTAGACCACAAATTTCGGGCACAAAATAATTATTTCATTACTGAGAGAGAGGTGGGGGCAGGTTCAGATTGGGGCACAGAGACAATTGGAAATAGAGAGTGAAGAGGAAGGTGGAAGAGAGAGAGAGACAGAGAGACCGAGAGAGGAAGGTTTTAGAGGCCGCCTGCTGGTGCTCTGGAGGTTTGGTGTTTTAAAACTTGATTTGGGCAGGGTGAAGAACTATATTCTCAAAAAATAAATCACTGCAAACATTTCAAATGACATTCTTGCATGTTTCTCAAGAATGATAATGGATCTGCATGCAAATGAACATTGATCCACCTAAAAATAGCCCAAAGGAGTCCAATCCTCACAATCCTCATGTTTTATGAGTTTGGATCCACCAAATTGATGAGCGGTCTGATCCAATTAATATGGTCTTGAACACCAATCGAACTGATTGGATTAGGTTTTAAAAAAAATAAAAAAATTGTAATAATAATTTAATATTACAAAATATATTTAAAAATAGTCGAACAAATTTATTAACCAATCTAACTAATCAAAACCAATCCGCTCAATCGGTAAAAGCTGGACAAACATTAATTTTGACCGGTTTTCTATGAAACCCCATTCTTTTGCTTTTGACTAGAATGGCCACATCACCAGATGGCAATCTGATTTGATTGGACCAGCCAGTCTGATCAGGTGTTGATAACTATGATATATACCACGCAAATAGATTCGAGCCTTCAAGAAAGTGGTCAACAATGGAAACATGAGTAAATCGACAAAATTGCAAATTTATGCATTTCAACTGTCAAAACTGATTACATGGCTGAGCTCTTAGAATCACCACTTCTCTAACATGTAAAGAGAAGTCATCTCAAAGCCTTACAGCTACAAAATTGTTCCGAGCTCTTAGAATCACCACTTCTCTAACATGTTAAGAGAAGTCATCTCAAAGCTTTACAGCTACAAAATTGATGGGCCGAAACAATGCTGAAAAGTTCCACAGGAGGTTGATAAACAACACCGGCCATTAATGAGCCCAGGTAAGATATAATTATGTGATAGAGTTGAAAGCCATCTGTAAGATATAATTGACAGAGCAGATTTCCCAGCTCTTAATGCACAGCTACTCCCCATCTGATAAAGACATCACTGGGATACCCTTAGTCGAAAAGCTTGAGCATTTGACCAGAAGCTCCTCTCCAATTTCAAAGTCCCTCTTGGAACAGGCCTGAATAAGAAAAGCCAAAGCATTTAGTTCAATGGCAATGGTGAGAGAACCTTTGTTTCTTGGAATGCACATTACTTTCAATAAGGCAACAATTACCAGAGCAAGTACAACCAAAAGGCAAGAAATATTTTCATAAAATTTGGCTTTAGTCTTTCATTTGTTGACAAGAAATAAAATAGAAAATCCGGACGAACAGTCAGGCAGATCACAAAATTTTATGCACCTCAAAGAAAGAGCACGCAAAGTGTGACTCTTTTCCTCCAAAGGTCACTAAGAACTAAGACATTAAAAAAGTGTAAATGGCCATCAATATCTTTCCTCCACGAAATCAAGTCATCTCTAAGAACTAGGAGAATTTAAGAAAGTTTGAGCATCACTATCCCAAATAACACAACTCAACTAAAAGATCCCTTCTGCCAAACTACTAGAAATAAGGTTCCAAACTTCCAGTATTTCATTTGAATGTTAGTTAGCAGACACATATCCAGAATTAAAAATTTCGGTATCTGAATTGATGGAATAAGCAGGGTAAGATATTCACTAAAAACTCAAATACGAATTTTAACATACCTCAAACCTGTACATACCACGAATACCACTTTCCAACTGGAGAACAAGACCATGCACACGAATCTGTTGAACGGTAGCAATGCATTTATCTCCAAGCTTCAGTGAAGTTGCACCAGCACGAGTGCTACCCACTGGTTTTTGCTTGTCTCTGCTTATTTGCTGAACCCTAGAAGTAGTCTCTTCTTTATCGCGCTCCTGTGAAAGAGGTACTGATTTCTTTGTGTTTTTCACAGGTGAAGAGAGAATCCCACTTATATGCTGAAGTAGTGGAGAAGCCCTTGATTTGGGGCTGGTATCTTTCTCTTTCTTGTTTTTAGGAATGGAATTTGAACCCTTATTATTATTTGATTTCAGACGAGAAAGAGATTCTTGCCTATTGCACTCTTCGACACTTCGAATCAATACTGAAGGTGGGGAATACAACGTAGTAGGATCAGCCGCTTCATCGCCATCACTGCCAGATGATAAGGGACTGGGAATGACGTTCTCATTCTCTTGACATGGGCTCTTTTCACTTTCTAATGATGTAGAGCTTAGTGCACCGTTCACAGGAGGTGACTCAGGATCACCAAGTGGCAAATACTGAATTTGAGATGGGGAAGGTTGGTTAATAGCCTTTAGTGATAGTTTAATGTTTCCCCTGACATCTTGCCCAATGCACATTAATGATAGCTCTTGCCCTACAGAGACCGCATCAGAGACCCGAACTACCTGAAGCAAGGGTGATAAAAATATATATTGGGGCACAATTCACCACCAAAGCAAAATGAAAACGCTCGAATGCAGCTGTCCTACAGAAAATGAGAACAGGGCCTCAGTAGATGAGGAAATATGCCATACACATCCATTGTATATCATACACAGGTGGGCACCATATGTTTCCGAGATGGACAGTGCAGTTGAAACATAGTTCCAGGGTAAATTTCTGTCAATGTAACACAGCTCATCTCCACCACCTGCCATCAAGAACAAATGAAGGATGCCCCACCTCTGTATGACATATAATGCACAGGATGCATATGGCAACTTCCTCCTAGTAGAAAAGGGAATTTATGCTATTAGACCGTTTATAAGGTCACAAGAAATCTAGAAGTCAGATGTCAAATCTTAAAGCACATGATGTGTCACAACAATCAAGAATTTTCTTCTGAACATTGAGCTCCATCAATGGAACACCCCCAACCATCCGATTTCAAATCTAATGGCCACCTAATAATTGTAACTTCCTTGTATCAAAGGCAAATAGTCTTATTCCATACTTTGCCAATTCGCTGGCTCAGGATTTGATATTTTATTGACGGGCATCATCCATAGCATTGTCTAAGTGTTTAAAAACAACTGAAAAAACTAGTTGAACAAGTTAAAAAAGATTGTGTGACTTACGAAATTAAAACTAGAAAGGCATCAATAAAGCTTTACCATGTTTTAGGATAAATTTATTTAGAAGAGACTCGTTATGGATGGTTTACAGATAAAGCTCATTTCAAGATCCGGCAATGCATACAAAAGAGTCATGTACATAGTTTGCAACTCTGGTAAGTGTCAGGGTACACCTCAATAGCTGGACATGATAAAGCTTTAGGGGCCAAAAAGAAGAATATCATCGGCAATGCCATAATATGATTGGATGGGTGAAAAGGAAATTTTCCTCCCATTCAATTAACTAAGTTCTCCGCTGGCTAGTACAAAAAAGTCTTATTAACGCAAAATGGATACTTACTTCAATGGATAATGCTTCTATATAGAATGAACAAGATTTATTACTGGTGAAAGGATAAAACAAACAGCTATCTTCATGAACTGACTACTATAGATTTTTCATGTTACTGTAGCTTCCATAGCTACTAGTGACTGTACGCTCTATAGTTCATACTACAATAAAATCCAGGGAGGGAATTTATTATTTAAGGACATTTGTCATACAAATCCCACAATAACGACAGTTTAGAAAATAGAAAACGACGACTGTGTAAAATAACACATGCAAGCATCCATGAACATCATAGAAATGCATTGTCATTACGAATAGAGTGATATCATGTTTCATGCCTGCGCACTCATATCCTACATGAATATGGAATATTAAATCATAGCTATGTTTGTACATTCCTTTCATTCTATGTGCAAAGGCACAACTATTCGTAATGACACCTTTATTCGTAATACAAATACAAAAGGCACAACTATTTGCAGGTAAATGTAATGCTTTCCAATGAGTTAGTGATGTATAGAAGACTATACAAAGACAAGTGAGTTCCTGTAAAGACATATCTGAAGACTACTAATATTATGAGAATACCTTAAATGTATTCTCCAATCATTAAAGGATTAAGGCAACCATGCCAATAAATATTTTTTTTTTTTAAGACTTATAGTTTTCCATATTTCTACAAAGGCAACCAGAAGAAATAATCATTTAAAGTCTACAGGTGGGTAACAACAGATACAAAGATGTTGTAATAAAAAAAATTTCTCAGTGCTTAGGAATTTTTAAAAAGCATACAGCAACAAATAATCAAATGGAACATCAGTCCAAGTTCCTAATTGACGCCACCTCTAGTAACTCTAAAGATTAATCAACAGAGTAATACTAAATGATGCCAAAGAACAAGGTCAAATCAACTTATATCATTTACTATCATGAAGAACAAAAGATTTATATCAGCCCCAAAAGACAGAAATATCCATTTACTTTTGCTTACCGGCTCATGTGATAACTCAGAAATATGTAACAACCCTTGTTGGCCTCCATTAAACTCCACAAAAGCCCCATACTCTTTGATTGAAACTACAACACCTTTATAAATCCCACCAACCTCAATTTCGCGCCCAACAATGAAATCAACCTGAAAATGAAAAATGGTTAGTGACTGTTTTCAACAGTAAGCTACTAGTTACAGCATAAGATTGCTAGCACATGGCTAAGATATTTTAAACCATATCAGAAAGCAACGCCAGTTCCATTTAGCTGTGGCCATCCCCAACATTGGTCCAGGAAAATAGAGAGGAGTCCTAAATGTTTCAAGACTCGAAAGAACCAGACTGCAATGGCTTGAACAGGCTGGTCTATTCTTGTCTTACATGAGAACCAACAAAATCAAACTCCCAGTACTGAGGTGTCATTCCAGTGCTAATAACCTTTTTTCAGAAAAGTTCCAGTGCTTCAGACCTTATTTACATTAAGATGCAGCTAGAAAGAATAAGCATTTATATGGAGTAACATTTTATATGGAAGGTATACATAGGGTTGCCCTTCCTTGCAGGAGTTTAAACTTTGGATCACTTGAGGATACCTATTTTCACCTTGGTTAAAAAGTGCAGACCGTTTGATATGGTAGAAAAATATCCCTAAACATTTCTCTTCCATGCCTTCATTAAAAAACACTGCAAGATCTAATCTCTTCCGTATAAAAATTTGGATTATCAAATGAACAAGTTACAGATGTAAAGACATGATCATGTATCACAAGAGGAGAGTATAGAGTCATGAACTAAGATGGTCCAAAAAGATAGACTGATGGTGAAACATGTTATCTCATATAAGGTACACAAGTTGAGGCCCCAACTTTCCCTAAACTTCGAGTGTGGTGAAAGATTCAATTTCAAGCTTAGAGCATACGGGTTTCAAAGCCTACATGATGATAGTGCACCTCACAGTGTTAGTCTCAATCATAAGACTCCTTGTTCACACCAACTTCTTTTACAAAAAATTTTAATACATTGAGGCCCATGTCATCAACCCTCAAAAGAGTTCAGGCACAAGATATAGAGCAGAATGCATGGATATATAACTGCACCCATAGATGTGCAATTGCTACGAAATCACTGAAGTAGTATCAAGGGAATCACACAAGGTATGAAAATTAAAAATTTTAAAACTTCTTACAGAAATATTTATTTCACTTTGGGAAAACCCTTGCTCACTACAAACTAGGTGAACAACAATGCCCTTATAAATTGATCATTGCTTTTTACAACTTGAATAAAGTGCAACAAAATAAAGACAAAAGAAACAAAGTGCATGAGCTTAAAGTATCGGATGGGAAGCCAATTTCCAAGAGATCACCGTGCGAATACCATAACGGTATAGATACAACCCTTGACTATCACTCAATATCGATAGCGCAAGAAAGGTCGGATTTTCGATCTAATCTTGGAAGCAAAATAAATCAACACATAATTGAATGTCTTTCACATAAAAGGAGATCAAAATAATGTTATCAAGGACTTGGGACCACCGAGACAAAATAGGTACAAAACCGGACTCCAGACGAGTTCCGAATGTAGTCTTGGTTCAAAACTTAGGTGCAAGGTTTCATACAACTATGGGGTCAAAGGGAGTGAACTATGTGTATGAAGCAAAGCTAGCGCTCACTGTTATGTACTATGTCTACGCAATTCCAGTAGCATAAATAGGCATAACAGTTTGCATTAAGTACTATGGGAAAAGCACCAACCAAATGCACAAGCTTGAAGGAATATTAAAGACTACTAACCAAATCAATACAAGAGATATGGAAGCATTAACCTCACTGTTGTTATTAATTTCCAGCAGCATAAGGAGTCAAAACAGTAGCTCCTAATAAATGAGAATGGCGTGGGAGAGTTATGATGGACACACTTTCAACTAGAGTGAAAGAGGTGCATCAAGGAAGGAGAGCTACTAACATAGGCAACAAAGAAGAGAGAGAGTTATGAAGTGGAGCGTGAGGGTTTTGAAAGGAAGAGATAGGTGGTTCAACACAAAGGCATTCAAGTCAAATTGAATTAGAGGGGGATCCTATTTATAGACATTTCATAAGGAGTCAAAACAGTAGCTCCTAATAAATGAGAATGGCATGGGAGAGTTATGATGGACACACTTTCAACTAGAGTGAAAGAGGTGCATCAAGGAAGGAGAGCTACTAACATGAAGGCAACAAAGAAGAGAGTTATGAAGTGGAGCGTGAGGGTTTTGAAAGGAAGCGATAGGTGGTTCAACACAAAGGCATTCAAGTCCAAATTGAATTAGAGGGGGATCCTATTTATAGACATTTCATAAGGAGTCAAAACAGTAGCTCCTAATAAATGAGAATGGCGTGGGAGAGTTATGATGGACACACTTTCAACTAGAGTGAAAGAGGTGCATCAAGGAAGGAGAGCTACTAACATGAAGGCAACAAAGAAGAGAGGAGTTATGAAGTGGAGCGTGAGGGTTTTGAAAGGAAGAGATAGGAGGTTCAACACAAAGGCATTCAAGTCCAATTTGAATTAGAGGGGGATCCTATTTATAGACATTTCATGGATGTAAAGATTAGATAAAATCTCACACACCCATAGAATGATCCAAGGGTTGAGAGAGGCTAAAAGCCTAGCCTAGTTAATCACCATTGATGGCTATCACATGGATAGTGTTTGGTGAATACACCCTTACCACCATACTCACATACCACCTTAACACATTTCCAATATTTTCACATGTGCCCTTTAACTTTAATTTTCAAAAAAAAAAAACATTCCATCTCAATTGATTTTATGATCATAAGATCTTCACCATCAATAGAATATCTTCATCAAGCTTAAATGGGGGCTGTGTGCCACCCATTTGGTTCATTAAAAATGAATGTTCATCCTCACTTAAGCCAAATGAATAGTCACTTTCAAAGGGGGGACATGACATCACTTTATGTCATGGCTTGTCCCGTTATCCCCTTCACAACAATGAGAACTCTTTATTTCAAATACTTAAAGGATAACCTAATCAAATAATTAAGTGACAATATTTAAGAAAAATGACATTTCTATATTCCCACATGTGAATCCCCACGTCCCCACATGTAATTCACGCATGCGCTATAAAACATATCACACAAGGGCCTCCACGCCTAGGTTTAGGGTTTGCACGTGATGCCCAGTGGGCAATGACATGGCCATCCCATTGGATGCACGTGTGACACACATTGGCCATTTGTGTGCCACACGCCACATATGTGTGTCCGTACTTGAAATTTACACACAACAAATTTGTTAAAGAATTTTTCCCATGAAATAAAATTTTCAAAAATCATTCAAAATCATGATAAATCATTTTTCATCATTTCTTATCAAAACATTAACGTTTGGCACATTAAATAAATTCAGGGTGGAAAAACCCAGTTCCACAGGTGGTCAGGTTGTATGGTACTCCACTGGGCTAAACCCAGAAACCCAATCCAATTTCTCAGACCAACCCAACATGCCCCTATGTGTCACAAACTTCGGTCCGGACATGAGTTCAAAGCTAACCGATGGTTGGACAGATTCCAAGGCATTCAATGGATTACAGGTGCCCCCCAAGGACATGCACTCTTGCGGATGCAAGGATCCTCTCTCAACACGCATGTACAGTTCTGATAGACAGATCTTACCTTATCAAAACGGCTTCCCAAAATGCAACTATTTGTGCACACGTTGTGAGCAAGCTACATATGTCAAGGATTTTCGCTTATGTCCTCATCTAGCCCAGCTATGCTCACACATGGCTTATTCACAACATAACTCAAACAAAACGGGGATCCACCAAGCCCCAAGCCCTGGCTTATACGACAAGAACTCAGTCAAACTGACCCTGACTAGAGGAACACCCTAAAACCTCTTGGTTCACAATGTGGTCCGAGAACCTCACCTTAGTCAAACTGGGTTATTTTGGCTTATCTGGATCCCAATACGCAAGGACATCGGCAGCCACCATGTTCCTGGTCACTCCCACTATGACTCTGAACTATGTTGGTCATTGCATATAAGGCCTTGAAAGGCCATATATCCAACAATCACGAAGTAATAAAAGTGGATGCCTAAACTCATATCATCGCAAGAAGTAGTTATCATAGGTCTTAGACAAGACAAACGCAGCCAATTCAAAGCCTGACTGGAGAAGTCAAGGGCTAGCACTTGGACTCCTACAAGGCACTAGTATGATCATTATGACAGTCAGATAGTGGCAAGCCCATGAATGGGGCACGTCCAACAAATCACTTGACCACTATAGAGGCAGGCTCAATAGTGAATTATTCAACTTAGCACTCATTCCATGTCTTTAAAAGCAATTTCTTAGTATGAACTTGCATCATGTATTTCAAAAAGTCCATGTTTTTTTTCTATTCAATAAGTAGGGTTCAAACCCTTAACCATCAAGTAGCAACATGTAACGAAGCCACAGGCATGAAGCCAACACAAGGCCTTTAAGTCATGAGTCAATCAACTATGCTTCAATTTAATGATGCCAAGAAAGATTATGATACATGGGTCTATGTACCTACACGCACCATATGATACCTTCTGATGTGGAGTAGAACATAAATGTGGATTAATTGCAAGTGGCACCCTTGCGAGTTGCTTTGATACCCTGCAAACATTAGAGGGGGGATCCACATCCTAAAGCCCGAGGTTGAGTTGTTTTACATCAGCAAAGGTAATAGAGTCATTATTTACATCAATAGAGGCAATCAGGTGCGAAGTGTTAGAGAGCTGTGAGAGGCAAGGGCTTGTAAGATAGGAGCAAGGAGAGAGGGCAGGTTGATAAACAAGCATTTGTGACCATAAAAAATGCTTTGGCTTCACATAAAGTACGTGAAATCATTCTAAACAATAAAAGGAACTCCCTTTGAAACTGACCTGTCTTCGAGAAAGACAGTTTAAGGTAACTTAGTGCACGGTGGTATGAGGACATCCATGTCAAAAACAGGCTCAGGGGTTCAATCCCAGCTCACCACTTTTAAGCTTTTGAAAGAAAGAAACAACATAAGGATCTTCTTGTTTAATACATGGAGCCAATTTGGATGCAGCAGGTAAGTCGCCACACCAAGCCACCTTGATGGGGATGGGGAAA